GATATTAAAATATTTATGTTAATGATTTTAAAAATCATAATCTTTTAACAATTTGTCACTTGAAACAAGTAAGAAGAGATGAGAAGAGGTTGAGTGAATTGAGGTGAGAGTGATATTTAAAATTCAAATATCATTTCTAATGTGTGTACGAAAAGACATATTTTAAATTTTTTCCAATAGAAACACGATGTAATGTAATTTAAAACATCATTATAATGTGGGAAAATGGAAGAATGGTGTGAAAATAATGCAAACTTGGCAGTGCAATATTAAGACAGGTACGGAAACCGGACACGGTCAATGTTTGACCTCATTTTGAAATTAAGTATGATCAGGAACCATTAAGATTAGCACCCCTAGCACCTAGTCTAGGGTGTCGTATTCTCATCCCTCAAACTCAATACCCGTGGTTAAACTGGAACGACTCTTGCCAGTCGATCCAACCCGTTAGGGTTTAAGTGTAATCTCATTTGATTCAACTACCCGGTCCAATCTGATTTTTAACAACCTAAAATAATTATATTAATATTTGATATAACTATTTTTATTAATATTTGTGAATTAGGTAAAATAGTTTTTATTTTTAGAATCAAAAGGAATACATAACCTCTCATAAGTATAAACATCAAAACTTTTCAAAATATATAGGAAAAATATATCTTTTCATCATTGAAGAATTGATTCACTTATAGCTCAATCTCCTAGTTTGGTAGGACTTAATTTCTGAGCTTTTAACTCGTTTAAAACTCACTAACCAATCTTTTTATTTTTAACAGAAAGGACATTTTATTCGAAAAAAAAAAAGAAGTACAACCAGTGTAAAGAAACTACAAAGGAAAAAACACAAATTAAACAACCGAAGGTTCAAAACCAAAGTAAAAGAAGCAACTACAAAGTAAGTACAAAAATCATCCTCTTCCGGAACGGTCTTGCTAATCATCAACAGTCACAACTCCTTTGCTCCTCCTGCCAGCATAATCACCATCCAGAATACGGTACTATCATGTCCCATTCATAGGATGCCATCCCCGTCTTATAATCAAGATACTAAAAATCGGACCAGTTATTGAATTTGTCTAGAAAAGTGAGTCAAGGGTTAATAGGTCAGATCAGGGTCAGATTAGGTTAGACCGGTTATAATTAAAATAATACTCTTCCGGTTCTTAATATAAGACTCAATTGTTGAGTTGATTTTGGTCCTAAATATAAGACTCATTTATCATATTTATTAATTTTCTCTAAATTACCCTTATAGATACTCCTTTAACCATAATCAAGTAAAAGAGGGAGAGGAGGTATTAAGAAAGATGATTATGGTGTTTTAGAAAAAATGTGTCACATTTCTTATAATTAACTAACTTACCTAACTTCCTTAATCTAATCAAATTAGTTAAATGGGTTTTATATTAAGGACCGGAGGAGTATAATTTTTAACTATATAATAAATATCATCAAAATCATTTAATAATTTTATGACTATCCTTCATGTGTCAATTTATATGGCAAAAAATTTAATAATATTGCGCTTACCTGGTTTCCAACTCAACTTGGAATTCTCTCCAACCTCACTACTTTCAACTCCGCTATTATATTGATGACACATATGACTTTTCTTCACTACAACTTGTTTATCTTCAGCATCAATTAGCTAAAAAAAGTTTTTGGAGTTTTAATAATTTAATTCCAAGCAGCAATCTGAAGAAGTCATTTTTGGGAGATCTAGAGAGGTAATTATCAGATGCAACGAGCGCAATAATTATAGTCCTATATATCCTTGATTTAATAATACATTGTCACGAAGGATAAGGACAAAATTATAAATAATAGAAAAATTAGACATTTATCCAAATTCCTAGGGTAGTACTTGAGGTTGGAACGAAGTTAACCATCCTCATTCAATGCAAGAGGGCTATGCATGAAGTGAATGAGTTTTTGTACTCATTCCGATCCGCAATATAAATCACTTCTCTAAAACAATAATCTGAACTAAAATGTAACTCTCATTTAGAGAGTAATTAATGTTTTTGTTAATATATTCTTGTAATTGATGCTTAAATGTACTTTTCTAATCCCATTTATAAGTTACTTTCAATATATTTCACACAAATAAAAAAACCTTAAACTTTATTAACTCTTTTAAAATTTAACAACTTTTCAACTTTATCCCTATTTAATATACATTATGTCTCATGTAAATAAAATCAACACAATAATAAATAATGGGTAAAATCATACATCTATACAAAAAATTTCTCTTAGTATCCTACAAATAGAATCATAGGAGTAACTCTTTGTATTTCTCTCTCTCCCTCACAACCTCATTTAATACAGGTAAAGTTGTAAAAACACTTCAACTTGAAACAAATTTAATGAGTTGATTATCATTTTTTGATATTGATGAATTAGTTAAAATAACTTACATTGTGGATAAGAAGGAGTAAAGACTAGAGCCTTAAATTATTGAGTGGGCGAGAAACTGCACAATTACTAATCATTAATCAACTAATAATCGATTCCAAACAGTGGCTTATAAATAAAAATGGAGGGAATATTGTTTTCCACATATAGCATCATTCCTAATGCATCCAGTCCACACATCGATCAAAAAGCTAAATCTAAAAACCCCAAATGTGAATTTAAATATATGGACAATTTATATTCACATGATGCTCATCTTTGAACTACTTCTGTACTCATGTTTCCTGTCCTGATGTTGTCAATCAAATTAAATTAGGGCCACTCCTAATTAATGCCAAGGGACCTCTTTGTTTTCTCAGTACCATTCAGTTCTCATGATATAAAGAACCACTTAGAAATTCAATTTAGTATTAAATATAAGAGTCCAATACATTTTGTCTCTCACATTAATTTATTTTTCTCCAAATTAGTTCATGTAGTGATTGTGCATGTTAAAAGGTTTTTATCAAAGGATGGTTTTACTACACATGATTAATAAGAATAATTTAGAGAAGACAATAACTAATTTAGCTAATTTTTTTAATATTTATAAAGAAATTACGTAGCTTTTATGTTAAGCAAAATGAGTAGTATACTACTATCTGCTATGCCTGTATCATACCACATATAAAAGAGAAAATCCAAATAAAAAAAAAACCTCTTAGAATTTCAAATTTTTAAATCAGTCTTATTTATTATATTTTAATAGCAATTGACTATATTTGAAGAGCAAATGATAATATATTTTTATACTAATTCTTAATTTATAACTTTAATATTTAAGAGGTATTTTTGTTTTTTTTAGATTTTCCGCACGAAAACATGACAACCGCCTTTTGACTGGTTTTACGAGTATCGAGAAATTTAGTTAAAGTTAGACATTGTTCAGAATTTTAGTAAGTTTGGAAATATCCTTCAAGTGTATTAAAAAGTTAAGGTGCATCCAGTATCTGAAAATATTTTTTTAGGGTATATCTAACACCGTAAAATATTTTCAGGTGCGGCTAGCATCCTGAAATATTTTTTAGGGGAACCCAGCACCTTAAAGTTTTTTTTTTCTTGCCTTGGTGCCGGAGGCAACGAAAAACATTTTTGGCTGCTAGACTTGCCTAAAAAAATACTTTGAGATATTGGATGCACTAAAAAATACTCTACGGTACTGGACGCACCTAAAAATATATTTCAGAATGCTAAACGTACCACAAAATATTTTATGATGCTAGATGCCTTAACCCTTTACTAAATTTCTCAATTATTTTTTTAATTAGATTTTACAAAAAATGAAATACAATTTGATATTTTCTGGTGATTAAACCGCATAGTTTTAATTTATATATATATTTTTAAAAAATGTCCTAAGATTGTGTAATTTTGATTTATTTCATTTGAAAAATTTTATTATTAAAAAAAACGAAAAATTACAGTTTAATTACCATAAGATATCAAAATATGTCTCATTTGATATATAGAAGTTCATTATCAAAATAAAAAGTAGAAGAGGGCAAAATAAAAGAGTACATGGTTAAGACAAATTAGAGATGTTATAATAACAATCAAGCAATACTCTTCCAAAAATATTTCTATATTAATAGAACTGGAGTGGAGTGAGTATATGATAAAATCTTCAACTCCAATATCAATAAGATAAAAGTAATTCTCGCATATGAGTTGGCATTGTGCATCACCCTACAACCTTGATTTTTCTTTTTTCTTTTTTTTTCCCATGTAAAAACTAATAATAATGTTGCACACAGACTAAATAATTGAACACGTAAGATTTCATAAGGTCCACAGGTTAATTTTCTAGAGAGCACCACAAATTCTCCATATCGAACTTTGTCAAAGAAACAAGCTTATTGCTAGGAACAAATACAGAATGGTTTATATGTTGCTTGGTTTTCATTAACCTTTTGTTATTATTGTACCCTGCTATTCCAGGTGACACAGTTTCATCAACAAGATCACTACAAAAGCATCATATAGCATCATCATCATCTTTAGAGAATTACACGGTGAATTAAGCTGAGTAGTCAACATATATATATGTATGTGTCATGCCATCCATCCTGGCAGAAATTCACTAGCATTTTGGGCTGAGGTTCCAGCTCCTGCTCCAGGAGCTTCATTTGTTTCAGCAGAACCGTACCTGGAAAAGCAAGTAAGGAATCAGCAGCTTTCTCCTGTCAATTCAAGCTTGATCACCCGATTAATCTTGAGAGTTATTTTGAGAAAAAAAATCTTATATGCATCAAATCAGATATAAGAGATTTAATAAATTAGACAACAAAGTAAACTCGAAAATGATCCATTATATGATACGTTCAGTGTCTGCCGAAAAAGAAACTTGAGCCTGAAATAATTGGGGTTAGCTTGTATTTAGGTCCCAAGATATGGCCCCTCCAGATGGGCCTACCTCGTGTTCACCTAGACAAATCCATTGTGCCTCAAAATAAACTGTCTAAAAACGCCTCCAGGCGTTAACAGCAAAAATAAATCATATACTTTTCATACAGATTTTCATCAGTGGCGGAGAGGTACTTTACCCCATCTGCAATGTACGACTGCATTGTGCAATCCCAAAGAATCCCTCGGAGTGTGGAGGCTGGCGGCCGTATGAATCATTTCCCTCCCTAGCTTCCCATGATGGTTGAAAGGATATATTTATTTCGTCCAACTGTGCAAAAATATAAACAAGTTGGAGACGACGAAGAGGCACATGGACGAAGACAAAAGGAAATAGCATAAAAAAAAAAAAACAGAGAGAGAGAAGGCTGAGTTTCTGTATTATTTGCTATCTTGTAAGCTTCTACAGTAATCTTAATTATTGCAATTATATGATTGATATTCCTAGAGAAGTGCAAGAGTGTGATGAATCAGACCCCTACTACCTTTTCTCATCTATAATAAATAGTTAATTTCTTTTTTTAGGCTCTAGGTTATAAGACTACTTAGGGTGTTAGCCTATTAGGGGGACAATGGTCGAAAAGTGCAGTTAAAATATTAGGTAAAATTAAAACTGTAATTAATGCTGTTATGATGTTAGCTTTCTGTCTAACTAACTCCGAGGGTCTAAGATAGCGGTGCCAAGTAGCAGGCAATGCCTAAGTCTACAAACTATTAAATTTGACGTAGAATGTTAGACGAAGAAAGAATAAAATGAGAATATTTAAGAGACTAAACTAATTAAAAAAAGAATCCATAAAAAATGAATTAAAAAATCATTTCCCATCAAGAAAGTTTCATACCGTTGATATTTCAAGACTCTTCAAAATGAATGCTTATAGTTTATAAGGTCTACATACATTACTTCTTTATTCAATTAATATTAAAGAAAAGTTCATGAAAACCTGAAATTCATAACTTGAGAAATCTGAAAGAACTTATTTTTATCGAAGTATATTTTACAAAGTGGTTGCTTAACTCAAATTTGATTTATTCTTTGTTTTATATTGAAAAAGGACGCTTAGAGCAAACTAACCACGCATTTAAATGTAATCCTTTGACCTGCGTATACCGTAAATAATTTAGAATTGATAATAAGTTTGAATAATTAATGATTCAGATATTCCCAGATATAAGAAAATCGTCAAGAATTGACAAATCAGATTCAATAACCACATTTTTATGAGTAAAACATGAAAGATTAAGGTGTTTTTTGCTACCTTGCACCTCAAGACACGGTTAGTTTCCAGAAGCATCTCTTCCTGCCCGCCCATTAAAAAAAATGCAGTAGTAATCAGCATACGTATACAAATCGAAAATATTAAAAGTTATTTATCAAAGCTTTACCTTCCTTTGCAAATCAGCGAGTTGATCAAGCAAATGTTGTGTCTGCAGATAAGGAACAGGAAGATAAAAATAGTTATTGCTCATCTCTATGTATATAAAATTATAGTGATCATTCTGAAGAGATCAAAACAAGAGGCTATTAAGAGGCTATGTTTTATATCATGAGCTTATGTTTCACTTTAACGTGACCGAATTTACGTACCTTATTGGACCTGATTTGCTTCAATGAAGAGTCCAGCTGACGTTCAAGCTGCTCAAGCTCCTTTATGCCCAACTGCTCCAATTCTTCCCCAAGCAAATTTCTACAAATTTTATACTTAAATTATTTGCTTACATAATTAAAATTTCTAATATTCATGATCAAGCATGATGATCTGCTGATCTTTAGATCGACTTGACTATTATTATTTCAAAAACGCTTCAGATTCATAATTGTACGTATTTCACCTCTGAGTGCGCTGTAGTGCCTCAACTTTTGATTTCAGCTTGAGATACTCTTGGTAGCACCTCTGCATAAGTGCATATATATATAGCAGGGAATAAGAATAGACTTCGTCATAAATCATTGAAGACGTGGGAGAACCAAAGTTTACATGATATTACAGTTCAAAAAGGGAAGAGAAACAGTGCATGCAAGAAGGCAACCAAAAATTAAAAGCAAAAAAAGGAGAGGCATTTAGCCCTTTTCTTCACCATAAAAAAGAGGGGCATTTTAGATAAAAACTAGCTGGGAAAAATGATAGGACTACCAACAAATTAAGAGCCCCCGGTAAGAATCGAAGTGAGCTTTTACAACGACACAGCAAGATATGCCATATAACACCGCCGTGTTGGGGAGTATTTGGATTTTAGACAAGAATTAATGAAATTCATTTTTAGTTGTACTTGGCCTTTTTTAACATGTAACGATAATTCTTAGATGCATGGCGTGAATGACATTCTTGTATCATTTACTTTTATGTTGTATAGTCACTTTTAGATTTTACCTCTTTGATGGACCTTATCCCCATCTATTTTTTTGGGGTTGGGGGGCGGGGCATCTAAACCTCACTTCACCAAGCACATATGTACGTAAAAAAGAAGAACGGCTTTCGAAAGCACTAGCGCAAGAAAATGAGTAAACTAAACAGAATTACTGGATTTCGTTAAATAGAAAGAGAGAGTTTATAATTACAAATGCAAAAAGGATGATAAAGTTTATGAATCTCTTTTGAACCAACCTGTGTCTCCATTGCCGGTTGGTCTGCTTCCAAGGCACCATAGCTGCATCTTTGGTACCGTTCAATTGTGTTAGCCATGCTGAAATAATGAAACAGCCAGCGCATAGATGGAATTAATTCCAGTTCTTTATTGTGTATAAAATGTTAATGGCCTTGATCTACATGAATAAAAGGAAAAAAATGCAAGTGATTAAGATGAAACAAAACATGCATTAAAAGGGCAGCATATGACAAGTATTTACTTATTAGCCAGTGCCAATACGTATTACCCAGCTGAATCTAAGCCAAACATTTTTGTATTTATTGCATATAAAACGAGAAATTACTGAGAAATCATTCATTGTGATGTTTTAAGCTGAATTATATAGCTATTCATACGACGGATATTCATTTTGAGCCAACTAAATAGCTCTACAGGGATAGTCCTTTGTACATTTGGCATTAGAATCAGAGTTACTTTCACCGTATCAGAAGGTTTCAAGGAACGGAGAAAGTTATCCGAGTTAGACACGACCCACTTCATAGACCAAACGAGTAATAACAATCATTTATGGCAAAACATATTAAGAGTTGATAATAATTAAGGAATCCATAAATTAGAATATAGGTTTTGTTTTAATAAGCTTTTACAAGCAGCAAATAGAAGACGGGATCTTAATGTTTTGCAGCAAATAGAGCATCATTCTCATGCATGCATGCGAGTGCGCACACGGTATTTTTCTTGTCACGAATCAAACATTTACTTGAAGCGATCATATCATGAGTTTAAACTAATAAAGCTGCTAAAAATAATACAAGCTCAAGAAAACCTAAACTTCGTCTCTTTATAAAGCTCGCTATATCATTTATAAACATGTGCAACATTATTATAGGAAAATCATTTTGAGCTTCCGTTGATATTCATACAGCCTTTATACAGATTAGGTTTTTGTCATCTTCAGAAAGAATTTGGCTCCATAATTATGGGTAAGACTTTAAACTTGTGCATTTCTATACAACTTATACTCGTTCTACAACTTGGAGACGCTAGATGTAAAAACAAAAATAAAGCAATTTATTCAAAGAACCCTTTCATAAAGATTTGGATAAATAATTAATCAACTGAATTCTGATCTAATTAGTGAGATATTTACACTTCTTCCGATGTTCCTCAAGATAATTTGTCATGAGCTTTAAAAAACAATAACTTTTAACTTGATTGGTGATGGATCGGACATCGAAAGAAGTGTATGTGTCTCATTAATTGTGATAGAATGCCGGTGAGTATTGGTCCAAAACTTTAAGTAAATTGCTTTAGTTTTGATTTTACATCTTGCGTCTTCAAGTAGTAAACCTCTTCTCTCTCTTGAAAGAAGATGATATTTCATGATTTCATCTTCGTCCAGGACTTTTTGCTTTCTTCAAAGACCAGTGATGGAAATGAATTGATCCTGGTACTTGATAATGCTCAACAAGGCTTATAGAAATTTGTTTATATATTATGACTTTACTTCTATTTAGGATTTTACTTTTATCATGACCCTCGTACAATACAAGGAAAGGCCAGTTTCCTGATGTCATCACTAAGCAAAATTCGTTTTCTTTTACTCTTATTGCCTTAACCAAGAGGCTAATGCATGCAAGAAGTTATCTTTTTGGCCTACGTAACTATAGGGAGAATAGTAAAGATTTTGGTTAAATGATCATACTTTGCTTAAAATATTTCGACTGGAAAAATCCAGTTGAGCCAACAATAAGGTTTCGCTCTTTCTTTGATCTTCACACTAACCTGTGCATAAGCCTCTAAAATCTTCAAGTTACGTTGGAGACTTTAATTTCTATAAAATCGTCAAGGACCTCTAAACTGATCAACATTTGCAGATAATTATGAGCACCAAGAAGAAGCATAATTTTTTTTCAGAAATATCCCAGAGCATGCGCATATAAAATAAAACCCAGTTGCCACCTTGGGTAAGAGCTAGAAGCAGCGGATGAAGAAGGGTGATAGGTCTTTTTTCTTTTGTTAGTTTAAGTAAATGAATAATCAGTTTTACATTCAAAAAATTAAAACCCAGCAATTTCTAGTACGGAAAGTGCTCGTGCCAGGCAATGAAGATGAATGTTAATCTTAATGGCTTCTTCAAGAGTGATATGAATAAAACAAGAGTTAATACAAACTTTGATCCTTTAAATTTATTTTTATTGTGATTTTAGTCCCTTAAGTTTCAAATCATAAGTTTTGGTTCTTTAAGTTTCTTTTCATTTAAAATATTAGTCCCTATAATCTAATAAAAACTTAGACCATTTTACCCCTTAAGGATCCAAACCTATAATTGAAACCTAGGAACTAAAACCAAAATAAAGAGAAACTCGAGGAACCAAAGATTTTACTAACCCATAAAACAAACACAGTTTTGTTTTGTTTTGGTTTTTAACTTTTCAAGCATAAGGCTTCAAGTGGCCTGTGTTCCTGCTTTCTCTTTTTTTTTCTCTCATTGTCATTCACTTTAATCTACTAGCAAGGCCTACGTACAAAAAAGAACCAAATAATCTCATAAATGGAAAAAGTTACATTCAAAGCTTATCTTTACCTTTAAGTATAACTAATCTATGAACCCCAGTGATAATTAGAGCCATTCAATGGCTTTAGGAAGATATCATTGAAAATTTTCGCTTAATAATCAAGAACGCTTCTTCTGCAAATGAAGCACAATTGAAGATCACAAATTTTCACTTCAATGAAGTTGAAAATAATGATTTTTTTAAAGAAAATTAAAACACACGTGACAAATGAAAAAGTATAGGCGTAAACGACAACCATATCTAATTGACTAATTTAATTTTAAAGTTTGCCCGTATATTGAAACTTGATCTCTTTTCTGACAATACTCAATTATAACTGAAATATAGTACAGCATAGAATCCTAGGTATAAAACAGGTGTCAAAAGAATGTCAGTGTAATCTCATGTTAAACTATACTGCTGACCACATATTTTACAGGTTCCAATGTTAAGATTTGTAATTATTACATCGCATAACCTTGCAGTGGAGCAGGACTTAATAACAAGAATCCAACACTAATTAAGTATGAGTGAACAACTCCCAGTCCTCTCCTTTTACAAGCAAACTTGATTAAAAATTAACATATTGGAAGAGAACATATTCCTCTGCAGACCAGACTTCTGCAAAATTTAACTAGCTATGAAGGAGAAAGCGAAACAAAATTCTAGAAACTTAATGATGTAGATGAATATGGAAACAGCTAACGTCACTTCATATATCAAAGTTCGCAGTTCCAAACGTGAACAACTCCCAGTCCTCTCCTTTTACAAGCAAACTTGATTAAAAATTAACATATTGGAAGAGAACATATTCCTCTGCAGACCAGACTTCTGCAAAATTTAACTAGCTATGAAGGAGAAAGCGAAACAAAATTCTAGAAAATTAATGATGTAGATGAATATGGAAACAGCTAACGTCACTTCATATATCAAAACTGAAAAACCCCAGCATGAAATTTTGCTTAATCAGATTAGATATTAACCATGTATTGATAGATTGGAATTATTAAATATAAGAAATTTCGTCATCCAAGTAATTATATGTGGATGACCCTTAATCCAATCATCTAATAACGATTAAAAGATTCTTCGTACTCTGATTGTGATTATATTATTTAATCTTTTGAAAGCCAACAAAGAAGGAAAGTACAGAAATCGAAATCCGCTCCTAGCCCTATTATTATAATCAGAACACCCAATAGAAATAAACGAAGTAAGATCAACATCTAACGATCAAGAAACATACACAAAAACCACTCAAACAATCTAACAGCAGCAAGAACAACACAAGCATAAGAAAACGGGAAGCAATCCTCGAGGACAAGCAAGAAAGAATCAAGGGAAAAACCAAAAAATGCTTCTTTTCTCGAAAGGCACACAAATTGAAAGCTGAATAGAGCATAATATTAGCTAGATCGAGAAAGAACCTTGAGTTGCTGCAGAACTCATAGAGCTTGCCTCGGTTGGAGAAGATGATAAGAGCAACCTCAGCATCGCAGAGTACCGAGAGTTCGTAAGCCTTCTTGAGAAGCCCATTCCTCCGCTTGGCAAATGTCACTTGCCGATTTATCTTGTTCTCGATCCTCTTCAGCTCCACTCTTCCTCTACCCATTATGCTTTACGCGAGAGACAGACAGACAGAGATTATTACAATATCTATATATGGAACCAAAACTTCTCAGGATTCAATCAGATATAAAAATATATATACATACATATATGGAAGTTTCCAAAAGTTAGAGCTGAAAATTTTTCATCTCCTTCAGCTTCTTCCTCGTGGCTAATAAATTTATCTGTTAACCCTCTTTCTTAGGGTTTTCTTTGGTATGTATTCCGTGATGCTTCAGAGAAGAAGAAGAGAGATAACCAAAGCTCATTCATGGCCTTAACCACAGGCTTAGCTTTTTTATAAAGCAGTAGAAAACAAATCAGAGAAGACAACAGTTGGCTACAGCTGATTCCCCGGTAACTTTTTTAATAATAATAATAATAATAATAATAATAGAAAGAGAGAGAAGACAAAGGAAAAATTATTATTATTTTTGGTTCCTAATGTTTTTAAAACATTATAACTCAGTTAATAAACTTTAACTCAATATAACTTACAAAATATTCTAAAACGGGCATTATTATTTCAAAGGGAAAAATTATTATTATTTTTGGTTCCTAATGTTTTAAAACATATTAACTCAGTTAATAAACTTTAACTCAATATAACTTACAAAATATTCTAAAACGGGCATTATTATTTCAAGGGTTTATAGAAAAATTAATATGAGATTTCAAAAATAAATATAATTACTAAAAATTTTACAACAATTGTGCAACATTGGATTTGTTGTAATTTCACAGCAATTTTTCCAAGATTATTTAGTTCTTGTAGCCTTGTAGGTTTAATTCTTTAATTGAGGTCAAAAATATTATTTAATATAATGCGCAATTTATTAACAAAAGAATTTGAAAGATTCAGTTAAATAAGTGAATGAAAAAAAAAAGGAGTAATAAATTAATTAACTAAAATACCGTTTATATTAATTCATTATCATATCACAAGAAACTATGTTTTGATCCTTAAACAACCAAATGATTTTGCTCGTATAAGAGTTTGGCCCCAAAAAATATACAAGCAATTAAAAAGGAGCCAAAAATAAAATGAAAATGATCAGCAATCAATTTAAGGTGAAATGACATGCAGTTGAAGAACGTTAACTTATCTCATTTTAAAATTCGAAAAGTGAAATTTCTCTCAAAGACGATAAAAAAAAAAAAACCTATCATTAATACTTTTTAAAGTTATCAATTGTGTCCACTAAAGTTATGACCTGAATTTTTTACATTTTCTAAAAAGGCTCTCATTCAAAGCCAATAAATAGTAGTAATAATAATAATGTAACTAAAAGCACTAACAAACTGTTGATTAAAATAATAAGCGATCTCATCTTATAAGAAAGATAACATAAGTTCGAATTTTAGGAAGCGCACTTGTTAGGAAGGCTTTAACCTTAATATTCCTAGCCCGACAAATTAGTCTCAAACCCAAAGTAGCTTGAAAATACTCTGAGTTATACTAAAAATAATAATAATAATGTAATTTTACAATTTTAAAAAAATTTTAGTTTATAAAATTTTCAGTTGTCACTGATATGAGTTATCATCAATCGTTTTCTTCTATTTCTTTAATTTAACTCACTCAAAAAAATTACTAATTAATTTATCATTGTTAAATGAGTTCGTGATATAACCTCTACTTGATTAATTTGAATATATTAAGAAAACTAATTAAATTAGTTATCTGTTAGAAATATAGGTTGGTTTTTCAAAAATATCTTCATAAATAATTGATATGTGTAAGTATGGTGGCCAAAATGAATTAGGTCTTTATATTTAAGGTCAAATTTAACACTCAACTGAATCTTATATTAGGGACTAGAGATAGTACTAAATTAATCTTTAAGAAACAAAATAAGGAATGAAAAAACTAATATGTTTGGGTTTAAGAGAAGATCTTAGTTGGTCTATCACAATATGACAAATAAAGATTTGAATACTGTTAGCAAAAGTGCTCACATTTTGTACTCGTTGAACATAGTTGCTTGTGATAAGAGAATATCTATGTCAAAAAAATATAGGACAACACTTTATCAAACAAAAAGGAAAATTCGGCAAAAGAAAAATCAAATTTGGTGTCTCATTATTACCGTACGCCGTGGGGTGAAAAATGAAAACAGATGCAAAATAAGAAAGTAACAACCATTGACACGAGTCTTAAGTCTTTGTCACGCTCCATAAAGATGCCAAAAAAAAAAAAAAAAGAAATTTTGAACGTGACTCACTAACTCATTATATAATACTATCGCTAATGCTTAATACTCCTCCGGTCCTAATTATAAAACCCAATTGACTTATTTGAGGAGATTAAGGAAGTAAGTTAAGTTCGTTATTTATAATAAATAAGTGTTGTCATTCCTAAAATATCCTTGCTAATTAAGTATATTGGCTAAAACTATCATTATTAGAAGGATTATCTTGGAAAAAAATACATAAATATAAGAGACAAAATGGATTAGGGTCTTATAATTAGGACCAAATAAAAAGTCAAATGGGATCTTATAATAAGGACCGGAGGAGTATAAAAAAAACGAAACTAATTTTTAAATATTAAAAAAATTAGTTAAATTAGTTATTTGTAATAAATGAGTATTGTTTTTCCTAAAATATATTTCTTAATCATCCATAATTATGATGAGGGACTACTTTTAAAATAAATAAATAAATATGAGAAATAAAGCAGATTGAGTCTTATATTTAAAAACAAATTAAATTTCCAATCATCTTTTATATTTCGAACAGGAGGTAGTATACGTGTGTGTGAACAAAAAAGTCGCATTAGTAAATAAAAATGAAAAAGAAACTAAAATTACAAAAAGATTTTTGAAGCCTCAAGCAAGTAACAGTTATCACTGAAATAAATAAAATTTTGGTGTTGCAGTGACCACAAATGAAGGAATGCATTTGAGTAAATAGCCCCACAACAGAGTCACAGGCTACCAAAGGGGAAAAAAAACAAACAAACGAACGAACGGATAAAGAGGGGGAGAGACAGTCTGTCCATTTCGAGAAGATCAACTGAACATTTTAGGGCATATTTGGATCATTTCATGGGAGTCCTTAGAATATAGGAACTAATAGGAGTAGGAATTGGCATCCCTCTCCCACATTTCAAGGGTTTGGATTAGCTTTTTAAAAGTAATTTTATAGAGTTCGAGGTAAATATGTGATAAAAATTTTATCTCGATTTGTATAAAAATGCTTTTTTTAAAGTACTTCTGAGGGTTTCCAAACACTTCTTAGGCTGTTTGGTTGGCAATTTCTGGTGTGAACTTATTTTTCTCATGACGAGAAGACCCATTCCCTAATTAAAAACTAAGAATGAGGATATGAACATTTGGATTCAAATTATATTCTAACTTTGTTTCTAAATATAAGAGTTAGACAAAGAGTTTACTTTAATCCTAAATATAATATCTCAATTTATTTTGTTTTCCAAATTTATAACCTTTTACCCACAGTGTCTCCACTGATTGCATGTATACTAACATGACTCCCAATCAAAAGGATAGGTTACATGATTAAAGAATGTAGTTTAAGAAAATCAAGATACATTTATTACAAATAATTAAATTAACTAATCTGTTTATAATATCATTGAATTAGTTATCTATTTTTTATATTAATCACTGAAGATAGTTTTACAATATAAAGATATTATTTGTGGTTAATTTCCAAATACCTCTGCAATAGTTCTTTGAAACCTTAAGGCTAGCTACTATCCTCAGCCTTAGTAAACTCTTGATGCCTAATTTATGTAAAATTTTATTTTTGTTTAGAAAAAAAATTGTGAAGCAATACTAACGTTTAAAATAGCGTACTATCTCCGGTCTTAATTATAAGACCTCATTTGCAATCTATAAAGAAGGTCTTATAAATAGGTTAGGAGGTAGTATTTAGGTAGAAGCCATGCATCATCTCTCAACTTGAAGGGACTGAAGTTAACAGCTTGCTTGCACAATAGTGAGAATCCGGTTCCCACACCTTTCTCACAAAATAACTTGTTTCAATAATATTTTGTCCTTCTATTAAATTTATTATTTGAAATTTTTGATTGCCTAACTAATAATGAGCTTAAACATAAACACAGCAAGCTCAACATTCAATAAAAATAATTTTGACAAATAAATAAATTAGTTGTTTTAAGTGATTTTTCATTGTTCCGTACAATAATTAGAATTTAGAACTTAAGGCATAACTTCTTCTGATTCTAAAGGAAAATCAATATTCCTAATATGTGCAATTAATATAGACAATTTAAAATAAATTTTTAAATTTGATTTACAAAATAAATTGAAATCTTATAGTTAGAATCAAAACAAACCCGCTTATTAGCTCTTATGTTGAAGACCAATGTATATATTATTTTCCTATCGAATCGAATCATAATTATTGGTTAACATGAAAATACTCATTTAACAAACCATACGGTATTCATAGTTATATTGGATCTTAACTAACCCTAATTATGAGAGTCAATGCTCACATATGAGGTAACTCTCCTAAATATGTCTTTTCTCTTATGCATTATCTAAATTCGAGTCATCATCTTTATAAAAAAAACAAATCGAGTCATCATGCTTAAGGAGAACCTAATAATCCATTTTGCTAGGAGCAACATAAAATATATTAAAAAGATCTATTATTCAAGTGTTATGAACTTGCACTTCATTCTTCAAGTTTATTCCAATGCATATGAAGAATGCCTCTAATTAGAATCTATCGGAAGAATGATTGTGATTGAAAGAAAAATGAGGATGCTAAGATAAAGATAGTGAAGCCCAACACATTGTTTTGTTTTATTTCATGCATGCATGCTTTTTCAAAAAGATGCTTATAAGATGCTCCCTTCAAGAAGGTTACCATGTCATAATTTTCACCATAACTTGCTGTGAAAGTTTAGCAATAGGGTAAAGTAAAGGTAAACTTTTTTTCCCAAGAAAAAAAATCTAATTGTTGTCATAATAATTGACGCAATAATCATATCTTCTATTGAGAGTTTGA